AAATCAAGAAAGTAAAGACAATGCACAGATTGGGAGAAAATATTTGCAAATCATATATATAACAATGGACCCAATTTAGAAACTTCCAAAGAATTTCAATAGACATTTCTCCAAAGAGAACATATAAAAGCAAATGAAAAGATGCTTACCTCATTAGGCATAAGAGAAACGCAAATCAAAATCACAAGGATGTACCACTATACACATACTATAATGGGTTATAATTAAAAAGACAAGGACTAGGGATGTGGGTCAGTAGTAGAGGACTTGCCTAGCATGCCTGAGGCCCTGGGTTTAATCCCCAACACTGCTCCCCAACCCTTGCCCCTGTCCAAAGACAATCACAATAACAAGTATAACAAGGATGTTGAGAATTGGAACTTCATACTGATGTAAAATCATATAGCCACTGTGGAAAACAATTAGGCAGCTCTTCAAAAGATTAAATAAACAGTTAACACATGACCCAGCAATTTTACTCTTAAGGAATTTTACCAACAATTACCATTAAAACTGACCTAGCAATTCACTTTCCCAAAAGTAAAAGGGTGTTCAAATAACACGAATGTTCTGAACAGCACTATTTCACAACAGCCAAAAAGTGAAAATAATCTAAATATCCATCAACAGATGAATATACAATATATGTATACTGAAAACATGACTAAACTCAGCAATAAAAAGGAACCATGTATGTTCTTCATGATAAACATGAATGCATACTAAAAATGGGTAACTCTGAAAACATACTAAGTGACCCAAAAGACCACAAATAATATGATTTGATTTATATAACTGAATATCCAAAATAGGCACATCTATTTAAAAAATAAAGCAGACTACAAGTTTCCTCAGCTGGGAGAACAAAAGAATAGAAGGGAGAGTTGACTGCTAACAGTTACAAGCTGTGTGTGGGAGGAGGTGACAGTTGCAGAGTCATTTGACTACTATTGAATTATATGTTTTATATGGTAAATTATAAAGTATGTGAATTATCTCTCAATAAAGTTGTCACTTTTTCTAAGATTACCTGAATTTTAAATAGTTTACTAGGAAAAAAAGAAACAAATGCATTTCTTTAACTAAAATCACTGATCTCAAACGTTTAAATAGCCCCTACTATATCAAAGACACTATGTAGTTATGGAAAAGGTAAAAATTAGCATTAGGAGATACCAACTAGATATGTTTTACCAGGTAGAAATAACTGTATATGTAAAAAGGGTACAGTGGCACATCCCTATAATCCCAGCAACTTGGGAAACTGAGGCAGGAGAATCACAAGTTCAAGGACACTCTGGACAACTTAGCAAGACCTTGTCTCAAAATAAAAAATAAAGGGCTAAGGATGTAGCTTAGTGGTAGAAGGCCCCTAGGTTAAATCCCCAGTATCCTCCAATTAAACAAACAGCATAGAATTAATTCAAAACATTTTATAATGTATATTATCTATTTTTTTCTTCCTATGTTGCCTATGCTTTTTTTGTGTCATCTAGGAAACCATTGCCTAATCCAAACAAAAAATATATAGAGAGAAATAAATCTTGGGAGTTTTAGCTCTCACATTTAGGTCCTCTAATTTGAGTTAATCTTTGTATTATGTGAGGCAGGGATATAATTTTCCCGACACCATTCATAGCAAAGATTATTCTTTTCCCATTGAACTCTTGTGGCACTAATAAAAATGAATTGACTATAATTACATACTAATTCATAAACAGAAAACACTAAAATATAATTTTTAAAACAATATGTGAAAATGGCAAAATTTGAGAAAAGTAAACTCAAACAATGTTCCATGAAAACTAAAAAAGAGGCCTTGATTCTTTCAAGCTGTGATTTTTTAATAATTTTGAAGTCACAGACCCTTTGTGAATCACAGGCCCTTCTGAGAATAAATGCTAAAAATATGCCATAAATAAATATATATCAAAAGTATCTTCAGTTTGGGGGTTCACTGTGAAGGATTCATGTGGAAAGCTGCAAACAAACCTCACATTAATAAAATGTGTGAGCCTTATGTTTCTTTTCTTTAAATTAAGTGGGTGGAGTGAGGATGAAGGTAGAAGGAAACAAGAAAGGCATGAAAACAAGTAGAAAAGAGAATGGGCATTAAAGAAGAGAAAAAAAAAAAAACAGGCTTTTCTAATGAAAGGAGACAGTTTGGACCTGTGCATCCCAAATTTTACTGAGCATATAATCACCTAAGGATGTTGTTATATGCAGTCTACTACTAACTTCAGGAGCAGCGTAGAAGATTCTGCATTTCCAGCAAACTCCTAGGAGATACCACTACTGCTACTCTGCAAACCCCATTTTCTGAGTTGTAATTAATTTAGGCCCATGGTCCCAAAAAGTAGGCTATGAAGGTACTAAGGGGGTACCAAAGGAAAATCAGAGGGAATCTGTGATATAATTTTAATTTCTTAGGGATATTAAATATGCAGAAATACTCAACATTTGTCAGATAACATGTGAATAACCGTTCAAGACCACTCAGTTTCAACTTCAGATAGTACTACATTGCTTTTAGTGACATCCTGGCTTTGAGAAGCAAAGTCTTTGTCAGGTGCTGTGATATAAATCAAGTGCCATGTTAAAAAAAAAAAAAAAAACACAAAACAATGTGAAACAGGAAATAAGAGTGGCTTGTCCCATGTGATTCCAAGGCTTGAGAAGTAGCCAATAGTTACCCACATGCCATTAGTAACCACAGTTATTTAAGAATAAATAAAAATTAAAAGAATCAAAAGAAAAATTTAGTGTGTGTATGCATACTACTTTTCCAAATGAATACTAAATCTGATAGGAGATAAATACCTGTTAGGTGTTTTGTTTGGCTCAGGGGTTGCTGTGGAAAAAATAAAATTACTGAGATCTTAAGGTTGCCTTGAATTGAAAAAGTATGGTAATGTCTGGCATAATCTTATTTCATACACACTTCACAGCCCAACTGAGGAGGTTCAAATCCTGTCTCCTCCCTTCACCAGTTGTGTGGTTTGGGGCTATTTATTTATTTATTTTTAAAAGAGAGAGAGAAAGAGAATTTTAATATTTATTTTTTTAATTATCAGCGGACACGACATCTTTGTTTGTATGTGGTGCTGAGGATCGAACCCAGGCCGCACGCATGCCAGGAGAGCACACTACCACTTGAGCCACATCCCCAGCCTGGTTTGGGGCTATTTAATCTCTCAGTTTTCCTCTACCATAAAATAGTGATAGTTTCCACCCTTTTAGGACTGCTATGAATAACAAATGTGCTACTATATATAAAGTTTAGCATTAGCTGACAGAGTACAGAAATGTTTATTGTCACCACCATAATAATTATGATGCTATAGTTACTGCAATTATTAGGAAAATGGGAGTCATAAAAAGCTTTTGATCTGAGTGTTGACTACAGATTCTGGTACAGAAGGGAAGAAAGACAGCAGGCATAAGCATTGACGTAGGCCACCTCAACACTAATTCAAAGGTGCTCACTGGGGCCTGTGGCTATTAATCACTCCCAGGGGAAAGAAACAGAAGGAACAGGTCAATTCAAATTTGCTTTCCATATTCTTACTAAAACACTTCACTTGCAAGTGATTTTTGTTGTGTAATAACAAGAATTTTTAAAAGTTTTGAATATGCATAAAATTGATCTTTAATGAGAAAAATCTGATTGCAAAATACAATTACTCTGGTATGCATATTAAGAGTCCTTCTATTTCATTACCAAATCTAAGCATGTCAGCAAATGAGCACAAGCCTCTAACACTGCTTCTCATGGGTTTGCAGGAGGGCAAAGCACACAGATCAGAAAGAACATTCTGCTAATTAAACTGAAGCAGATGACTTCGGAAGAGAAGGGCTTGTCACATGTAACATCTGTGCCAAAGATGATCAGATTAAATATGCAAAATGTGAAGTAAAGGTGTGAAAAAGCAGTAAGATGATACTCTAGACCTTAAATAGGCTACAAAAGTTCTGACAGTTTCCCTAATTATTCCCAGTAATGGACATAGGAGGCCAAAAGGCAGGAGAGAGAAATACATTTTTCTCCATTATGGGTGTTGAGCACCAGGGCTAAAATCATGCCTGTCTGAACACTGATCAGTTTCTGCAAAGGTTAATAGCAATTAAATGCAGCAAACTAGACTAAATGAGAAACAGGTCATGATACCACTGTACTTGCAAAGAGCATAAAAAGCATTTCTTTTAAACTGATCTTAATACACAGGAAATCCAAAAAGAGCTATGAAGAAAAGAACATACTTTCCAAAGTAAAGCAGCTTTGAAAATAAAGCTATTTCTCAAAAGGTGAAAATAATTTCTTAAATACAGATTTTTAAAAAATGACATTCTACACAACTAATTCCATTATTATCAATATTAGGTTGCTGCATAAAATCAGAAATGCTACATAAATAAAGATATCTAAAAAGTTATTTCTCTGAAAAAGAAAATCACTACATGATACCTACACTATTCTCTTTTTCTGGCTGAAGTTTTAATGAAGATTCTACCTTAAAAATTTCCAGTATGATATAAAAAGTGCAATATTATGCTTCTGTATGCATCATAATAACTATTTCTTCCAGCCTAGTACATCTATAATACAAAGAATGTAGTAAGTCACTTAATGATAATTAAGATTCAACTATCTGGCCCAGATTCCTTGGTAGAACAAGCCTGTAATCCCAGCAGTTGAGGCAGGAGGATCTGAAGTTCACAGGCAGCCTCATTGGTTAAATACCCCTGATTCAATCATCTTTATCCAAAACAATAACAAAAGATTTAGATATTGGTAACTACAATAGTCTCAGGCCATTCTCTGATCTTAATCTTTGACTTTAGTATATAAATCCTAAAGTCTGAAGAATATTAGTTTATTTTTGAATTTCAATACAAGCAAGATTTTTCCAAAAATTATGCAAACCCTAGCATATACTTTTTTCACACATGCACATACCTTCAACTCTGGGACAGATTCAGACAATGGAAATTCAACTTACTTTGCTGTCCTCTGGGTCTTCTAAACCATCAGGCCGACTAAGGTTTCGAGAAGGCTGGCTACAGACAACATTGTCTTCCCAAGAAGGTACTCTTACAGGTGGCCTTTGAATTTCATCTGGATAAAAAGCACCATCTGCTCCATCTGTGATAATTTTGGAAAAGAAAAGAATACATATTTTAGAAGGGTAGGATGAAACTATTTACTACAATTAGCATCTCTATGTATAGATTTGATAAACAGGATATAAAAAACCATACTGTTACATCAAAAAAATAGATGTTTTCATTTTTAACCCAAGTGATTTTAGAAACTGAATTATATGTAATAAGCATGGTTCATCATTTCTGGATGTTGCCCTTAATAGTGTTAAACATTAAAACTGCCAATTATACAAATGTTTCCGTTAAAGTAAATTATGCCAGGAGTTCTCTAATCTCATGAAATATAAGGGGAAAAAAAAATCCAGATTCAGCTAACCCCAAGCCAAAAACAATAACCTCTTGTTTCCTGTGTTGCATACGGATTACCATACTGCAGAACTGGTTGTACATTTGGCAGCACATGAACGTGCCCATTTTGCTCTGAGCATGTGTTGAGACACTGTGAGTTCTGTTGGGAACTATGGACTTCCATTTTCTTTTCTGTTTGATTTTCTAAATTCCTTTTAAGTTCCTAAAATTAGCAAAAACAAAGATAAATAAGAAAAGCAATCAAACATTTATAAGGGCAACATTAAACATTTAGCTGAAATAACAATAAAATTACTTCCCTATTATGTTTTAGATATGCAACTGGAAAGACTTCTCATAAATACCCCTTCCTAATTTAACAAATCAGACAGCAAGATAAAACTCAATGTATTTTCAAATTTATTTGTGCTGAAAAATGCCTTGTTATAGAACTAATTTAAACAAACTAATTATTAATCTCTTACTACTCAAAGGTATTAACAATATTTTAAAGTCTTAATACAGAATTATAAACATTTGATTGAATTCCCTAGGGAAGCAATTCATTTTTTTTCTTGTTTTGTTAACTCTTTCAAAGTATAAGAAACATATACCAACTTTTTAACAAAGCCAGTATTCTTCTACTATGAAAACCAAACAAAGACATCAAGGGGGAAAAAAATGACTGACTTCATCCTAAAATTATCAATGGAAAAACCCTTAACTTCTTATTAGCAAATAAAAATCAATAATATTAAAAAAAACAAACACTATGACCAAATGAGAATGTGAAGTCAGTTTAACATCCAAAAAAAAAAAAAATCAATAAATATAATTCATTATGTTAAAAGAATAATAGGGGTCTGGGGTTGTAGTGCAGTGGGAGAGCCTAGCACATGTGAGGCACTGGGTTTGATCCTCAGCACCATATAAAAATAAAATAAAGGTACTGTGTCCATAAAAATGTCTAATAAAAAAAATAAAGGGGACAAATCATACTGAAGAAATATTTTACAAATTTAATACAGATTCGTGCTTTTTAAAAAAAATCTCAGCAACCTAGTGTAAAATTTTTTTAAAGTAAAACTTAATAGTGAAAAATTAAATGAGCCTACTGAAGATCAAATACAAGGCAAGGATATATGCTCTCACAGCCTCTGTTCAAAATAACCAGTGAATTAATTTCAGATTACGGCAGGAAGACTAAAAATAAAGAATTAAAACTGTCTTTATTCACATGACATAATCATGTATGTAGAATAATCCTATCACATCTACAATAACTAGGAGAATGAATAAATTAAAGCAAGGTCACAGTATACAAAGTTAATATACAAAATGAACTGTTTCCATATATCAGCAACAAATAATTAGAAAATAAAATTTTAAACAATTTTACTTAGAGCAGAATCGGTAGGTAAGATTTATTCCTAAGTATTTTATCTTAACAAAGGATAAACAAAGCCTATATACTAAAAACAAAAAAGTAATGCTGAGAGAAATTAAAGAACATAAATGAAGAGAGATACCAAGTTCACAGGCTGGAAAATAGTATTTTTATACTATTAATATCCCCCAAATTCAATGCAATCCCAATCAAAATCCTAGTAAGAGTCTATATAAATAGATGATTATAAAATGTACATGGAAATACAAATGTTCTGAACAACCTGCCCATGTATATGTATATACACATACATACAATTCTGTCTACAACTGAGCTAATCCCCAGTCCAAACAGCCCATATTTAAAAAGCAGAACACATGACTCAAGAAATATCCCTAATCTGGCTTGTCAATATGCAAAAACACTAATATTAAAGAACATTTTAAAATTTTCTCTGGTAATAGTAAACAATTTTCCATGAAAAAAAATTTTCCATTATTTACTATGTTGCTTTTGCTTTATAATTTTTCCCTTTTCAAATTTCTAAGAAGGATTTATGCCAATTATTTGAAGTAATACGAAGATACAAAAATGGTAAATAAGTGCAATGTAGCTCACTGGATTAGCTCTTGCCTATCATGTGCAGCCGTAGGTTCAATCCCCAGTATCACCATCCCCAATCCCCTGCAACACACACACACACACACACACACACACACACACATTGATTTTATACTACTAAAAACTAGTTTTTATAAACAAATTATACTACAGAAATACTAGGGAACTATTAGGTAAAATAAACTATAATGAGTCCTTTTATTTGCTCATTTACTCAACATCTACTAGCATTAGGGATTTATGAATAACTGACAAAACTTTCTGACTTATAAAACTTACATTCTAGAAAATGGAAGAAAAACAATAAACAAAGTAAAATACAGGATCTGTTAAATGGTGATAAATCCTACAGAGATGGAAAAAGAATAAAGGCACAGAGCATACTGGTGGAGTAGTGGGTTGCAACTTGTACACAGAACAATCAGGAAAAAAATGACATTGGAGTGAAGACCTATAAGTAGTGAGGGAACGAAAAAGTTCCTAGTAGACAATGTCAGTGTGAGTTAAGAAGAATGTACAAACTACTTTAGTGTTGTGTGAGTGGGTTAAGTCACTTTTCTCTTTACTAAGCCATAGTTTCTTCTGCTATATATAATGTAAGAATATTTTTTATGCAAAAACTTGTGAGGGTCAAATTAGGAACCCATTTATTCCACTCCAGTGACTCAAAACTAGCACAGTGCAATGAAGTAATACCATATCAACAAAATAGCACACGTAATTTGAATTTAAGCCTTAGTAAAATTACAAATTATTTTGTTTTTAAAAAGAGCTGTTTTCATTTATACAGTCAACTAATTATGATCACTTGCTACATTCTATAGATCCATGTTTCAGTAGCTCTTTCCTCTCTTTTTATATACAGGGTTAAGTACAAGGTTAAAATGAATACAACTACTACCATGATTTGTTGCTACTAACTTAATTACAACACACAAATAATTTTTCCACCATTGCTTTCATACCAACAGTATACATGTTAATACTATGGGGGAAAAATCCAAGTAATGCTATAGTATTATTATGAAAAATTTTATATTTACAGAGCTCTGAAAAGAGATGGGGACACATACCAAAGTACCCCTCTGACAAATGCTATACTATACCACCTTTCTGTTTGAATGTCAGGTAATGCAGTTAAGTAATTTTACAACTTCACAAACATTCCTATTACAAAGAAAACCAGATAAGCACACAAAAAATTTTAAATTTCAACATATTCTTATATTTGAATATTGTAAAATTTGTTCATTGTTAAACACAAAATAGATAACAAAGACTAAACTAATAACTTTTAACACATGCATTTTTCTCATATTCTAAAGTAAATACATGAAAGTTTTTGTGTTGTTTTTTTTAAAGCACATTGCTTAATACCTTCTCTCTGGAGAGGTTTTCCAAATGTGAAGTCAGACCACTTATTTCTTTGTCTTTTTCTGCCAACTGAAGCTAAATAAAGAAATAAATTAATTTTTTTCATCATTTATATTCCCTCCTTACAATTTGAGATCTAATTCATATGATTCTATCAAAATAATTTATATTATCAAATCCATGTATTTTCTTCAATGCTTACTCTTTGGCTTCTCTGAATTGTTATCAATAAATTCCTCTTATTCTTAAAATTATTCCTTTGGTTTATGTAAAACTGTATCAACACACTATCATTCTCCATGCCCTTTGTGTCTACCTTTTCTTCTCAATCACACATACGAGTATTCTTCAAAGTTTCTTTGGCATCTCTGTGAAAAGTCACTTTTTTCCATGCCTTGAAAATATCCGCAAATACTGACTTGTATACCATTTCTCTCTTAAGTTCCACATCTGCTTTTTAAATAGATGATTGGATACATTCACATTGCTGTCCTTCCCTCACTGTAAAGACAAAATGTCCCAAGCCTTCTTTCCTACATTTGTTAACAAGATACCATCAAAATCAGAGAACATTGATGGTTAGAATGCTTCCTCCTCCTCTTCTTCCATTCCCCAATGCTTTCACTCCCTGTCATTCATTCCTTCATCCACCACCCACTGACCACCTATTACAGGATAAGTATTAACAGATGCAAAATCAAATAAATCTACTCATCAAGAGTTCTTCCCTAAAGATGCATTTTAATACGTTCTTTAGTAGACTTATATGTCCTACTCAATGGCACTAGATCTGGGAAGGTATTTTCAAAGGAGGTGGCCTTTATGGATTCATTTGAAGAATATTTCTCCCAATTCCCTCACCTTTAAACTGTTTATATGTTCCAACATGTAAACCATCTGTAGTGCTACCAAATTATTTTCAGAAAGGACCTACTCTAGTTGGGTCCCTTTTAGCCTAAAAAATTCTAAATAGAAACTAGCACCAAATTCCATTTTAGGCCTTCCAAAATCTGGCTTCAAACTTTCATTCAAATCTAATCTATAGATATTAAAAGCCTTATTACTCAACAGTTTCCAATTAATAAGAGTCCAAATGCTTTAGTTCCCAAGTTCTGCTATCTACATCTGACCTCCAAAGCTGTATAATACTGTCTGTCTGTTTAGAACAATTCTTCTTCCTTTTCCTAACTTCGCTTCTCCTCCCTTTCAGTTCAGTCTTTCAAAGGTCTGGTTTCTCCATAATATCTTCCTACTAAAGATGTGATTGGAAACAACCCCAGGGTACTTGAAACATCATTCACGTGAAAACTTTTATCACATTTTACCTTACCTACTCAGTCCATGTTTGTGTCAAAAGTGAAGGGCATTAAATAGGTTTCAATAAATATTTAGCAAACCATTTTTTCTCATCAACATGCAAAAAATTTTAATATATTCAGTATTCACATTTTACAATAAAAACAGAAGTTGTGTGTCACTGAAGACAATATCCACAGGAATCTCGGAAACAATAATGATTCATGAAATATCATTTTAAGAATAGAAGGTTCACCAGTAAAATTGGCTCTCTTCAGCTTCCACAAAGGAAACTTTAAATAACTATAATTTAAAAATTAGATACAGATAAAAGTAGCTATGATACAGCAGAACTTAATCACTTAGACTGCATGCCAGGAAAGTCACTGAGCCACATCCCCAGGCCTTACATGTATATTGTAAAATACATCATATTGCACCCTATTCCCAAGAAAGCTAATACTTTACTACTTAGTAATTAGCTAGACAGCCCAATAATATTTTTTACTAATCTTCTTATAGATATAATTTACCATTTGAATTTTTCTGCTCACTTATGTTACAATGGCAAAATATAATTTTAACTAAGATTTTATCATTTACCTTGCAGAACTTCATTTAGGATCACAATAAGACAACTGGGGAATAATTTTTAAAATTCTAAATATTTTAAATTAAAATAAATTTAAAATTTTTAAGAATTACTGATGATATGTTATTATGACATAAAACCCACTGAGGCCCCCAAATAATTTAACATACATGTTTGTTTAAAAATAAAGCCAGGCATGGTGGCACACACCTATAATCCCAGCAACTCAGCTGGCTGAGGCAGGAGGATTACAAGTTCAAAGCCAGCCCTAGCAACTTAGTGAGACCCTATCCCAAAATAAAAAAATATAAAAAGGGCTGAGGGTGTGGCTCAGTAGTGAAGAGTCCCTGGATTCAATCCCCGTAGCCCCTGCCAAAAAAAAGCAAGCAAGAGAATAATGAAATGATTGCTTTTAATCTTTAAAATAAGCACAATTAAAAGATAATTTTTTAAAAAAATTTCTCTTCAATGTAGGTGTACACAGAGGATCAAACCCAGTGCCTTACACACATTAGGCAAGTGTTCTACCACTGAGCCACAACCCAAGCCCAAAAGATAAATTTTTAATAGCTATCTGAATCCACAGAACTAAAGCCATAATACCAATTAATACGAATATTCATTTTTCTCAGTTCACACTGAATGATCTACATTCAATGAAACTAAATACACACCATTTTCATTTATAGAAGAAAATGATATCTCAATTATCCATATTAAAAATGTGTATTAGGTTGATGAAAATGACAGAAAATACATTTTCAAAAGCATCAGGTGGTACAATAAGTTCTATGCTTTAGGTTTGTATACAAGTGCTAAACTTACTTTATAATTGTCCTCTACTTCAGCTAGTTCAAGTTTTACATTTTCAACAATTTTCATTTGTTCTTTCCATTTCAGCTCCATTTTTGCAAGTTCATCAGCATATTTACTGCATTTAGTTTTCTCATCCTAAGTAAAATTAGTATAATTATCAAAAGATTTTAAATCCATATAAAGTAAACATATACACAAACATACTTAAATGTGCACTAATATTTTTCATAACACTGCTGTAACAGCATAAACATAAAAGGACTAAATGTCTATCAATAGATTAATCATTTTATATCCATACAATGGAACAGTATAAATATATTTAAAAGGCAGATGTTCAAGCAGACAAAAATGTCAAATTACACTGAATAGCATGTTGCAAAAATAGTACAATATAATCCATTCTTACTTTTGTTTTATATAATTATATATGATATCTATGCCAGTATTGTATAGAAAAATATAAATTTCATTATTAACAGCTCATATCTGGGGATCAGGATCAGGGAGATACTTTTTACTATCTCTGTTCTTTTTATTTACAGTGACATGATACTTCACAATTATGACTTTACAAAAGGATGGAGGGAAATCATGTATTCATACAATTGCTTTTTCTTATAACCCAAAACATCTTATGAAAGGAGTTAGAAATCATGACAAAAAGGCAATATATGACCATTTCATTTTCAATGTTTTAGTTCAAGGTGAGGTTTAAAAGTATACTTTTGAGTAATTCAATGGAGAAAGAAATACCTTTGAAAACAAATAATACTAAATCAACTATGGTTCACAGAATTAAATGCAAAACCTGACTCTAAAACTTCTAGATGGGCTGGAAGTGTAATAGAGGACTCGCCTAGCAGGCTTTCAGTTGTGTGTTTCAATACTTAGCACCACAAAAACAAAACAAAAATCTTCTAGAAGATAACATAGGAGAAAATCTTTATCACTTTGGATTAAACAAATATTTTTAAAAAGAACAAAATATAATGGAAGGATTAATAAACCATCATTAAAATTTTTCTTTTCTAAAAACACCATTAAAGAAATGAAAAGGCAGATTGGGAGAAAATATGCACCAGAGACAAATGGCAGAGAAAGAAACTGTATCTAGAATAAAGAACAACTACAACACAAGATGAACAACACAATTTTTAAAGTAGAAAAAAGATCTAAATAATCACCTAAGGAGGGTGGGAAGGGTACACAGCTGACAAGCATAAGAAAGGAAGCTCAGCATTAAGTCATCAGTGAAATGCAAATTCAAACCGCAATGAAATTATTATGACACGTTCATTAGTCTGGCTATGTAAATGGTACAAAAGTATTATGCAAAATAATCTGGTGATTTCTCATACAGTTAACCAATGTGTTGCCTACCTTATCATCTAGGCATTTTGCTCCTGGGATATATACCCACAAGAAGCAAAAAACTGTTACAGTCACAAAAAAGCTTATCTACAAATGTTCATAACAACTTTACTCATAACAATTAAAAACTGAGCAAATGCCAAACCACTTGTAATGTATAAACAAATTATAATACATATATAAAATGGGATACTACCTCAGGAATGAAATGGCAT